GGGGGGTGCTCTCGTGGTCAAGAGGTTAAGGTGTTCGTCTCTCATTCAATAGGTCCCGGGTTCGAAATCGGATAGCAACGGAAATTTTTATTCTCTAACATTTTCTCCTTTCACATCCTTTCCTGCTTTCTAACAATGTTCTGCAGTCTGCTTTCGTCGACACCTTCTGTCCCCCACCCCCTCACCTCCTTTGCCCCCTTCTCTGGGCTCCTGACTCTTTCTGCAGCCTTCGTACTGCTACCCCTTGGCTCCTTCTTACTGCTGTCTTTCAGTCCCATCCCTGATGCTATGGTAGGAAAGATCTACACCTAGCCTTCTCGGACAAGGGCGAAAAATCTCGGAGGTCCCGTTTGCAAGTTACGTATGTTATATATCATGTACTTACTCGTAATCAGGGAGTGAAAACAGGAACACTGTTGACATAATGATGACAGCCTTCACTGCCGACGGTAAGCACAATATATAATACACTCTTTTTTGGTAAGGACCAAAGTCACCAATTTCTTGAAGAATATCGTCGTACTTCATCTTCGTGCGAACAAAATACACAGCGACACAGCAGCGGTATCATCCAAGTCCCCTCTGCGCTATATAAAGGGGTTATGAAAGTGACCTAAGTTATTCTTGCTTCTGATAAACACCCGATTCTATGACCCGGTTTTATAATTTTGCAGGAACAACTTTCGTCGTAAGTAGGAAAGTCCTGGTTTTATAGCGTTTTTTCCCTTTGAAGTGATCTGCCAACTACAAGTGCTTTGGCGCGCCAGTAGTCTGGCATGGATGGGAGACATAGACGTATAAATCCACGCTTTCGAAAATACGAGACTGGACGAATGAAAAGCCTCCAGTTACGAAATAATCACACCTGTCGACCAGACATCAATTTTTTCCCGACTCATGCTAAATCATTAAAGTACGTTCACCCCTCACTGCCAATTCAATTTTCATACTTTTGACAATGAAATCCCAATGCAGCAATTAATGATTCACACTCGAGCACTCTTTTCGCATGAATGAAAGTTGCCTACTATTTTATCTTTCACACCAAGCAGTAAGGAAGGCTATGCCCAGTAGGTCTATCATTTAAATTTGTATTCCTTGTTTATTCGCTGTTAAAGTTGCACGTAATGAGAATATCTCTTTTATGTCTATAGGGTTAAATTATGGGCTAGGCCCTAGGCTTGAACAACGCGGCTTAAGCCTTTTGAACTCTAAAACCCCCCAACAAAAACAAAACAAGATGAGTTAAAGAAAACCAACCCAAATAATTATGTGTGAAGCAAAAGCAGAATCAAAATCAAAACAGCCTACAGAGGTAGATCTTCTCTAAAGTGAAGAATGACAAAACCTTGTTGACGTGAGCCTCTCAGGGGTCTAAAACTCAAGGTCAGTGGCCCATTTGAGGCCCACAGCACGATATTTTGTGGCCCGTACTTAAAAATGCAAGTTTTCCTCACACGTCAGATGTGACTGAGCTATAATATAAAAAGGAAGCGCTGCCCATGCGCAGTGGAAATATTCTAGTGCGCGCTGGGCCTAGTAATGCATGTAATATCCAGTGCCCATTGGCACGATCGGGTCGGTTTAGTTTCCGGCCAGATTGAGGGTGCAAAGAGGCTATCGTGGCATATACCAATCGCCCGATTCGTCGCCTCAAAAACAGACGCCTTTGTTTTCATGCGACAAGCCGGGCGATCGGTTGGCAGTCGGTTTGTATTAGAGAACCGATCCTGAAATGGGTACTCCGTATAAGCTGTCACTTGTCGCAAACCTGGGTGGAAGTCAATTTGACTATTGTCTGCACTCGACAACACGTGTAATACCGCCTGCATGGGTCCGTCTGCAGGCCCAGAGACTTTTTGGCGACTGAGAATGGCGGACGATTAACGAGCAAAAAGCAGGCACACAATGGCACAGTGTGCACAGTGTGCATAGTGGAGAGCAGTCTACTGTGAAAGACGAGTCGCTAGCAGAAAGAACTTCAGGGCCGAAAGCTTTCATTCATAATAGGAATAGATGGTCATTGGGTTGTGGGATGATAGAAGGGTGTTATTTTCATCTTGATACTATATTATTATCTACCGGGTAGACTGTTAGTGTAATGAACTACTGAAAACCGGGCTCTTTTTTTTTTTCCTCGAGCGACTTGAATTCGCAGTTTAGCGAGTTTTAAAGAAGTTTAAAAAATTTTTAAAGGGAGACCCTACATTGGAATATAATACTGTAAGACTCAAATTGGAAATTTAAATCGTTCGTGAAAAACGAAAAGGACACAATGCAAAAAAGGAGAGCGATAAATAAAACCCCGTATACAGTATTGTTCAACACTAAACCAGCTGCAAACTGTTGTTTTTTCCTCCTTTTTTGGTTAATTTTTTTGCTGCGCTCGCAACTGCATAAGGTCTTATATCTTACCTACCCTAAGCTCAGGGGTGTGCCTGAAAGACCGTAGTTAGGAGTCAAGGAGTAGCAGTAGAAAGGTTGCAGAAAGAGTCAGGCGCCCAGAGGAGGGGGCAAAGGGGGTGGGGGATCGGGCAGAAAGTGGAGTCGAAAGCAGATATCAGAAAACGATTAGACAACAGGAAAGGATGTGAAAAAGGAAAATTTAAGAGAAAACACATTTTCGAAGCTGTCAGGTTTCGAACCAGGGACCTATTGAATGAGAGGTGAACGCTGCCGTGCTTCAAAAGATAGCCGGATGTCTGAGCAATTTTATAAACATTCGATAGTTTGTTAAGTTCTGTTATTAACAAAAACACAGTATTAATTGTAAAGCTGTTACTTGAAAAAAAAATGCTATGCGAATGAGTTGCTATAACGGTTTCATACCATGGTACCACTTTTACTACTTTTTTGTAGATGTGAATAATAGTAAAACGTACTTGCCTTTTCACTACTTCTGTTTATGCATACGATAAATGATTTCATCAGGGTTTTTTTTACGGCCCTTTGCTCCTTTTGTATGACGTTTTGTAACGTTCCAGTAGTTGTGGACATTACAACACTCAGCTGTTCCCATTTCTGAAAGTTTTTTCTTCTCATTCATCGCCTCTGTCAATACATTGTCATGATCTGCACCACAGGATTCTTTCCCCACAAAAACCCCCAACAAAAACCCCAACAAAAAAAGGGCCAAACTATAACAACAACAAAAAACAAAAAACAAAAACAAAAACAAAAACAAAAACAAAACAAACAAACAAAAAATACAAAGAAACCCCACAAAAACCCCGAGGGTTTAGCTCGACCCGAAGCAGAAATCGGCGGTCATGGTTCTTTAAAAAATTTTAGCTATTTAAAAAAAAGAAAAAGATTTTTACGGCACTTGCAATACAATAAGGTCATATAAGTGGCGAAGATTAGAGGTGTTATAAACACAGAGAAAAAGTAGAAGAGATCAGAATGATAGATATTTGATAGGAGGGGAAGGAGCAAACCACACCAGAGCACCCGCCAACCACCCACATCATGGTTCACATTTCATTTCTTTGCTACGATGCTCGAAAAAAGATCATACTCCTGGGTTTTTCTAGTCTCACGTTTGTTTAGATTTGCCAAGTAAGTTGTCCTTGATCTACGCCTCCCTCGTTTTCCAGCTTTTTTTTCCAGTGAGAGCTTAATTTCAACTTATTTCAAGGCTTTTATGTCGATTCCAGTGGCCCACAAAGCTACTTTGTCTCTTCATATTTAAACATTTTTTTAATAAGAAGCCCACTTCGGATTTTTTTCAACACCACCTCATCTAATTTTTTTTTCTTCCATGAAATTCTCAACATTTCGATGAGAAACCATACTTGTGTTACGTTTATACATTTTTGTCACCATTTTTCTTATTGTCCAGGGTTCACAGCGTATAGATAGGTTAACTATTCATAGATTTATAAGACTCGTATTTTGTTTGTAGTTAACATATTATTATTTATTATGTTCTGGATTGGGCTCATTTTGAAAATGTCTTCAGCTATTGCAGTACTGTTTTATCTCTCATGAAATTTGGGCAATGGATGCAATTATATTTCAATCAATCAATCATTGCCGTTCTCACCCTGCACCAGGATATAGGCCACGGACAAACACCTTCCACTTTTCTCTATCCTGGGCTAGCCTCTTGATGTTATTCCATGTCTTCCCACTTTTCTGTACATCGATTTCTGTGATTCTTCTCCAGGTTCCACGCAGTCTTCCCCTTGATCTCTTACTTTGTGGGTTCCAATCCAAACCTTTCTTTGTAATGCAGCTGCCTGACTTCCTGAGAGTATGTCCAATCCATCGCCACCGCATTCTTCCTACCTCATCTCTGATTGGGATCTGTCTTGTTTTCCTTAACACTTCCACAGTGATGACCCTGTCTGTCCATCTGATCCTCAGTAATTTTCTTAGACACCTGTTCAAGAAAATCTGGATCCTCTTTATGCTAGTCTGTCATGCGTTCCATGTCTTACATCCATACAACAGGACCGACTTCACATTTGAATTGAAAATCCTCAGCTTTGTTCGAAGTGAGATATCTCTGGTGTTTCAAGTCCTATCCAAAGATGTGAAAGCAGCCTGTACTTTTCCAATGCGGGACTTTATTTCAGCACATGTTCCTCCCTCTCTGTCAATTATACTCCCAAGATAGCAGAAGGATTCAACGTTTTTTAGTGCCTTTCCTTCTATTGTGACTTGCTCCTTTCGTTGTGCATCTGTCCTTAGGACATTTTACTTTCCGGGGTGGACCCTCAATCCAACAGACTCCGATAGGCTGTTTAATACTGAAGTCTTTGCTTGCATCTGTTCCTGGGTGTGCGACAAAAGCGCCAAGTCGTCTGAAAAATCCAGATCGTCCAACTGTGTCCATGGTGTCCACTGTATACCATATCTGTGTCCTCTGGTGGTTTCCTTCATCAGCCAGTCGACTGCCAATATGAAGAGGAACGGTGATAATAAACATTTCTGTCTCACACCAGTCTTGATGTCAAAGCTGTCAGTGAGCTGGCCATCATGTACAACCCTGCAACTTGTCCCTTCGTACATGCTCTTGGTGAGGTTCACCAACTTCTGTGGGATTCCGTGGCAATTATAATTGCCTAGATAATAATGATAATGATAATGGGGATGATGATGATGATGATGATAATAATAATAATAATAATAATAATAATAATAATAATAATAATAATAATAATAATAATAATAATAATAATAAAAATAATAATAACAATATAAATAAAAATTAATGAAAAAAAAAATACATAGCATCCATGCTGCGCATTTCCATTATCTAAAAAAATGCTCATCGCACATTACACATTATTAATAAGAATATTACACCTTAGAAAATGTGCGAACGTAAAACACAGTATTATGTATATATGATAATTTGTATATTATTAGGTATAACATTTCTATGAGAAAAATAGTCACCCAGCCTGGCTAAAAATATAGAATGCAATAAAAACTCATGGATGGTCACAATACAATTGAAATCGATGCGCTTTGCTTATGCAATTACAAAGAAAAGTTCTTGTCTTATAAAAATGTTACCATATAACCTATATACTATTCAACAACAAAAAAAGTTAAGTCACACTTAAAGTCACACAACGATGACCCTTCCGTACAATGGCATCAACTCTCTAACCTAACTTCTCAACATTTGTTTGTCACACAGTCTCAAACATACTATAGTGAAAACTGTAGTGCTCCCTAACTTGTTTTGAGTAGTATATTTTTAAAGACAAACCTTTACGTTTGCCTTCTACCAGATAGTATTGAGAAACAATATCGAAGGTTCTTTTCTAAATCTGCAATCAAAATTGAGTTATTGGAGCCTCTGATGTTATTCACTTTGAGACCTACGGTTTCTTCCATATTTCTCAGGACTATTTATCTACATTTAAAAGAAATCTGGAGACATAACGGATCCTTGTCTAACTCCTCTTTTCCTCTGCTGATATTTGCTGGACCCCGATGTTAAAATAGCTCATCATTTCTAACTTTATCAAAGGCGTTTGAATGACCAATGAAGCATGAGTACATGATATCTTTTCGTGTTTTAATATATCTTTCAATTCACGGTGTAAGGGTTGTTATAGGTTTTATAAACCCTTGTCAGGAGCAAAGTCCAAGAGAGTTTTAGATATCTCTGGTATTATGTGGACTTTTTCTAATCCCTTCAATCTGAACTAGCAGAAACATTTGTGAATTGTGACTTATATCATGGCTTAGTACAAGGTAAAAAACATCATTCCTTAATCCTGTCTTTGTTTTTCCTAGTCTGAGGATGAATCAGGAAGAGGTATTAGTATTCTATTCATAACAGTAGGCTACGTATGGTCTACCTGACAAGAGGTATAATCGCATATGTTTGCATAGCAGCATCGGTCTGGGTCATTCATATCTTGTAAGATATGGGTCAT